GGCTCCGAGCTGTCAACACAGAGCCCGACGCGGGGCTCGAACTCCCGAACCGTCAGACGGGAGTCGGACGCTTAACCGACTGGGCCACCCAGGCGCTCCTCATGTATTATTATTATTTTTTTTTTTTGGATGCTTTCTGCCGGTACTTTTTGGAGGGGGAAGCACCTGAATGTTTGTGTCCGACAAAGCAGTTAACGTCCCCCCAAATCTCTCAGAGCCTCAGACGTCCCATCCTTAAAATGGGTGGGAAAATGCTAGCTCGTGAGGTTGCCGGAGGGAGCCCCCGGCACAGCACGACCATCTGACAAGGTACCCCAAAGTGTTAATATAGTGCGCAAAGTAAAAGCGACTAGGTCCCGAGGCAGGACCTGTGGGATCGGCAATAACGAGAATACCACGCACCAAACACCTCACTTAATCCTCAGCGTGTGGACAGGCGAGTCACAGATTAGCTAGAACCACCTACAGCTGCCCATATTGGACCCGTTTGGATCTGCAAAAAATATAATTGTATAGGGTGCACCCCAATATTGTTAGTACCCCCGTTTTATGGAGGAGGAAGCTGGGGGACAGTTGACAACCTGCCTGAGTCTTTTGCCCAGCCCGGTAAACGTCTTTTGATGGAAAGGTCCAGACAAGATGTTTGGCGTTAACCGCCACCCCCCCATCCCCTCCCCCACCCCCCGCTTTGTTTTATTTTGTTTTGTTTTGTTTTGTTTCATCGCGCTTTTTTCTCCAAAGCCAAAAACTGGGCCATGCAGCCTGGCAGAGCTTCTGGGCTGCCCCTGGCGTGTGAGGAACTGCACACATGTTAGAATTTCTGGGACACGCCGGTGGTTCAAGAAGATAAAGGGATGTAGGGTTGCGAAACCAGGAATGGCCTGGAAAACCCGAGCCGTGGGGCTGGCGGCGCTGACGAGAAGGCTAACTGTCCTGGGCACTAAGTATCAGGGAAGGCGGCGAGACAGAGGAGGGAAGCGTGGGCTTCGGGCACGGAAGTCTGAGTTCCTCCCTAGCTGTGTGACCCTGGACGAGTGTCTTCCCCTCTCTGGGCCTCCATTTACTGACCGGGGTAATGACACCTGTCTGCAAGGCTACTGGCGGGCTTGGCACAGATATACGAGAGAGAGAGAGAGAGAGAGAGAGAGAGAGAGAGAGAGAGAGAGAGAGAGAGAGAGAGAGAGAGAGAGAGAGAGAGAGGGTGAGGGGCAGAGAGAGAGAGGGAGACAGAAGTCCCGAAGTGCGCTCTGTGCTGACAGCACAGATGTGGGGCTCAAACCCGTGGACGGTGAGATGGTGACCTGAGCCGACGTCGGACGCTCAACGGACTGAGCCCCCCAGGCGCCCCTCAATCCACGTGGCCTGAACGATCGATCGTTGCCAGGAGGAGGGTGATGTTTGAGCTGTATCTGGGTGGAGAAGTTTGCCTGGGGGAGGAGGGTGCCAGGGGGCATTCTCGGCTGCCCCCCCCCCCCCCC